CCCGTGTATGACGCGGTTTAGGTTGATCTCACGATTCTCATCGGAGGTAAGGTTGGCCAGCAACATCATCAGGTCTTTGACATCTTCATCGTGTGAATTGAGTATGCTAGGGTTGGATTATTACCCACTCCTACTGTTCCTGTGTTATCGTTGATGATGATGATGTTGATACCAGCATTCTTGTGGCCGAGTTGTTGTCAATTCGTTAAGGGGTGTATCATAGGTTGATTTATTAATCATATATTAATCCCACTTGGTATCATGTCGTATTGAACCACCGAGTATTGGTACGTGTAATCCAATAATTTGAGTATACTCATTCCCCTTGCTGTTGTATAGTATAACTAACCCACATTCCTATTCAATGACTACCACTTCGTCCGACCGGCCTCCTACTACTGCAATGACCTTGGCAGTGGAGAAAGCCAAGGAAGCCCGACAGAAGGATTGGCAAAAGTAGATTGTTTGGAATCCTGAAGTGGAAATGCTTCTGCTGATGATTCTACCAGCTTGCTTCACGGAGATCCCCTCAGTGAACTCTTTCAACGTGTCGGCTGTTCATCTGCTTAATTCTAGAAATTTCTGATCTCACGTATAAGAGAATGTATAGTGGATCAATACTCTAGTGTAGACTGCTGTTTTCGAGGAAACGATTACCATTTTCATCTTGTAGTGGTTAGTAAATACGGTGTGTGTTTGAACTTGTGCTTTTGCTTTTCTATATGCTCATTACGGTGTGTGTCTTGTGGGATGATCTGATGTTACATCAGAGTTATTTGACGAATATCTTTGTTATTATATATGTCGATGGTGTGACGGCATCTACACTGTCGTATTATTAGTAACAATTCCATTGTTGGATATATATCCATAACTAGATTCACACGAGGAATGTCTCCACATTTCTTGTTGTTTCCCAGACTGTATAAGAGAGAACTTCGTCGACGAGAGAAGGACAGGAGGATGCAAGCCATGCAACAGGAGTATCTCTTTAGGCATAGGGATGAGCGCTATGGGTGAGTAGTAGCTGCTGATGTTTATCCTTATGTTGCCAACCTTTGTAGTATGGGACCTTGCGGGGAGTTCCACATCCCACCCATCATGTTCGGATCGAGTGGTGGTAGTAGCCATACGACGACAGCAACAACCAGTGGCGGTGGTGGCGCTACCCAGACTCCTACAGGGGTTGGAAGGTTGTCTCATGGGAGCCGCAAGATAATAGAAGTAAATACGCCAATGCAAAAGAAAGGTAGGGTGAGGTTGCCGGTTCGAATCCTGGTGAGATCATCTTGATAGACTCCGCTCGTACGGTACTTCATGTAACGCCTCAAATGGATCCTTCATCGGTGGCGGCTGCCCATTTACAAGCTCTAATAGAAAGTGAAAATAGAAGTAATCAGCATGGTGGAGGGGGATTGATCCTGAATGTATCATCGTAGGACGGCAGAGAGTCGACGAGGTTCAGCTCGAGTGGGACAGGAGATGTTTAGCGGCTTGGGAACACGAAGTGGATAGAAGGAAGTCAGCATCATCTGCGATCGCCGATCCAAATCGATCGTGTTATCTATTCGGTCAGACAATGGGATATATCACATCAACTCCAACAAGCTGAGAGAGCTCGGAAGGTCGAGGCTGAAGAGAGACGGAGAAAGTGGGACATTTGCACCAACCTTTTGTTACTTCGTCGTTTCTATTCCGATTCAACTGCTCAGAGAGTTTAACTGTTACGTTCAGCATAGAATGGAAATAGAGGATATCCACCTCGCAGCGGTACCAGCCGAACATCCCCCAACAGAAAGTTGTAAGTGGGGTCGGTCTAGCAGCTTACTCAATTGAATGGTTGTCCGCTCTGTCGTGTGCTGCGGGATAGTAAGGCACTATCGGTATGCTCATAACCGGTGTTCAGTAAGGGAGGAACTTTGTGGTGAAGACATGGAGGTTCTACCGGGATTTGAACCCAGATCGCCAGATTCAGAGTCTGGAGTGCTAACCGTTACACCATAGAACCGACAGAATGATTACCAGTTTGCATTGGGTCACTGTTTCATTCTCTACAGCTCCTACGATGCTGCAGAACTCCGCTGCGGAGCCTCTAAGAGACCAGTCGAAGGTGCCTCTCGAATCGAGTTAGTCGGCCATTACGTAAGATGGGGGGGGGGAAGAATCGCCGTCATAAATTGGTCATTCATTTGGCATTGAACCACCGCTAAACCTGGATAGAGGGAATTAAATAAGCGTTGAAATTGGTCGAGGGATACCTGTACTCTTCCTGATTCTCCCGAGAGCTACTAATCGAATATCCCAATATCATTTGTGGGAGAATTAGCTAGCTGCATTGTATTGAACATATGATGGAATGATTTGCACTCGTTTATCCTCTTTCGGTGATTCAATGTTATATCGGGTCATAAAAAGGGGACCTTGTCTGTCAGGCTGGCAGGAAATTAATTTACGTATAACTTGACGGAAGTCATTCGTTCAGCAATAGCTGGTTCATTCATATTCATCCATTTTATATCCAACTCTGAACTATGCTAATTAGTGGCGGGTCTTCCCGCAGCCGGATGATTCAGAAAGCATGTCTCAGGAGTAATGTTGTGGTGTTAAAGTGAGCTCATCACAGAGTAGTAAATGCACGGATCTGTTCGCCCTACCATATCAGTACGCTGGTTTAGACGAAGGCAACCGGGAAAAGGATGCAGTGTGTAGTTCTTCCTTAGCGAGGGTCTGTGTTTGAATATCTTGCAGAAATGTTCTCTTTATTACGTCGATTGAGCGGATTACTCCATCGTCCTTCTTCCGCTGCTCCTGCTGACGACGACACCCCGGGTGGCTCTAGGAAAGGGGTGACTGGGGACTCTGAGTCAGTATACTCTGAAGAGAAGGTCGTAATAAGCCTGCCATCTGCCGTATATTAACGTAGTAGATTCCAATGCACTGTGTGCAAACCCTGCGGAAGAGGACACTACCATCGGCGACAGAGTTGGTGACGCCTGGATATAGTCGATGGTCATTGAAAGGTGATGGTGACCCTACGAGTAGCCGCAGCAGTTGGCCTTCTATAACCATAAAAGGTCGGCGTCGTTGAAAGAGGGTCTTGCCACAACTGAGCCGACAGATACGTCTCTTGCTGACTTATCGACACCAATCGGGAGGATGCAAGTCGACGCAGTAGAGACGAAATGCAGGAGTTTTTCGAGGCACCCACAAGTAGGAGGCATTGTTGTTCTTGTTGACTGCATCGAACATTATTAGATACTATCTACTTTATCTATCATAAGGAAATCAATTGTGCCCACCCTCAATGAGCTCCTGGTTGAAAGCAATGATAATGCTAGAAATGTGGTGAGTTGGGAGCGGGGAGGGAGGCGAGTTGCGGTCTGGATCAGCATGTAGGTTTCAAGGCTTTTGAGATATACTACGCCACTTAGTAGGGAAGGAATTTTTGATGTGTGTTCCCAATTGCTCCCTTGAGTTGCCTCAATATGAGTATACCACGATCATGCGTGGATACTCCTAGTGATGCTAGGCATAGCTAGGCATGCTCTGTCGAGGGTTATGATGATCTCAGAGGAACGATGTCCTGCAGGAGTCGATGAGGAAGAAGTTGTTGTTTGTGAATGACGTCGCCTGTAAAGAACAAGTGAGATTGGACTGTATTGAACTGGATGAATTGAAGTGATAACTGATTGTGTATGATGATGATGGTACATACCTGGTATTGGTGTCAGATCAGAGTATGGCAGCCGTGGTGAAGTGAGGGCAGCAAGGAAATTGTTGATCGATTGGCTTGCGGAGGTGGACACCTCTGCTTGGCTCTTCCAATCCTCTCATTAGGTGATCTTCGCCCGAATCGATGCTTGTCAAAGCCGCCGTAGAGCAACAGAGACGAAGGCAGCAGCTGCGGGACCCTTGTTGGTGCCACCCCCACCACCACCTCCCACATCATCATCATCATCACCAAGTCCAGTCGATAACGTTAAAAGGATCCGGGGTAATACAGCAGCAGCCTGTGAGATCAACTCGTAGCTTCACTCAATACTTGTGAATGGAATACAACCACCACGTGCCGAGTGCTTTGACTCACTGTGGGGAATGGACGTCTATCAGTACCGCTCGACCCTACCGTAACCCCTACAACTAGAGTGATAAGTCGGGATAGAACATCATCGGCAACGACGATGGTGTCCAAAGCTGAGTAATGATGACTCCTCACTCGTCGCCTTTGATGAGTCACCTCAGTCTTCTCTCTCGTCCTTCCTACCCCACTCGAGTCATCACAACCACAGCTAGTCGTAAACGAGCTCGAGGGAGTAGTCGTGGTGGTGGTAGTGATATTAGAAGTACACCTGTAGTCAGTCGTAGACTATCAGATGGTGGTGTGGGTAGTAGGATGCTTGTAGTGATATCACCACATAGGACCTGTGAATCGTCTCAGTCCCGATGTCGATGTCACCTAAGGCTACAGGAGATCGACGTCCTCGGCGTGCACGCAATAGTATTGGTGGCCACGAAGCTCCTGAGGATTTCACCGTGGAGTGGTAGTACGCCGGCCACAAGGGTGCATTCCGTCTCGAAAGGTATGATCAGGACGGTACCAGTGGACAAGAAGAGGAGGAGGGTTACTGTCGATGATGTCGCAGCACGGGTCAGAAGACAGATCGCTGAGTTGGATACCCAAGGCGAGGCGTTCTGGCACCTCAGCTGTTTGGTGAGGAACTACTACTACTACTGTACTACGATACAGCTTATGGCGTCTTCTCTCTTAGAAGGAGTCTTCTACGTTGCAGACCCTGCATGATTGCAAGATAGCATTAGAGAAGGATGGATTAGATATGTCTGTGAATCGGCGGGCACTGGGGGCGATCCTTGTTGCTGTACAGCATGTAAGTACGGCTCCTCCTACTACTACTACTGCTGCTGCTGCTGCCACACCGACGAGAATGATTTGTGTTATCAGCTATTATCCCGGCCGCAGAGTGAGGCTGATATAGAACGACTATCTGCCTTCATTGATGCAGTTCAGAAGACCCAGACTCGCAATGAACTAATAGAGCATGTGCAGTCCGCCATCAATCTACTATCCCCTGCTGTGACTCCTAACGTCCTATTGTAAACTATTATTATGAAGAATTATCCTTCCAGGATGGGCAGCATGAGCTCCACCATTCATAATGCAAGTCGACGGATATTTCAGGGCTATTGCAGTTGAGTTAGTCGCAGATTACTCCAAGATCGCCCCTAGTTGAGGACACGCGAAGGTGCTCTCTTATAGGAGACCGATTGGTCATTACAATACATCCATTAACGTTGTCATCTAACATGATAGAAACCCGAACGTCCTAAACTTCTATTATTTTCATCTCGTTAGTGCATTCGTGCTACATCAGAGCGTAATAGATTATGAGATACATATTATATATGTAACATATAGTCAATCGCTTGCCTAAGGCACAAGCTCTCCTCATATCACTCACCAAATAACTTCATGTATCGTCGGAGTAGAGCGGATAGAGCCGCGCTGTCTTATCCGTCTACAAGGCCCAACGATAAGTAATGCCCCTTATATACACGAACTGAGAAGACGATCTCTCACATGATTACTACTTTTACACATCTGGAATCTCAGAGGCAGTCATGAATGTAACACAGTTTGAAAGAGTCTTTTCTCATCACAGCAACGTTGGCGAGATGCCTAACTCATGAAGTGAGGTTGCGCTGGGATCTCATGATGATGTGAGTAAACCTTCCGGAACGACGATAGTGTTGATGACACCAATGGAAGCTTCCTAGTGGTTTTCCAAACACCTTGAGGATCTTCAGCTTCACGGCAATTAGGATGCTGTTGGAAATATGTCGGTAACTCACTAGGAGGTTATCTTGATCTAACGAGTTCGGTGGTGAGGTCACCAGGCAGTAAACCTATCGAGTATGCGACTAGAGCATGAACTGTCCCTCTCAGCCTGGACACTATCTGAAATAGTGCAGTCGCAATTGGTCTACCTTATCAAAGGAAGATAGTGCGTCGTGTATTAGAACATTACCATACCATCTTAAAGTCACAATCTACTTAGACAACTCAACTTGTGATGTAGTGAGAGAATAAAAATAATCAAAAACGTAATGGTTACATCTCTTGTGATTGAGTGATACCTTTAGCCTTACTCTTCTTTGGTAGAAGAGTGGTATGAATATTCGGTAACACACCACCACTAGCTAGAGTCACTCCAGCCAAGAATTTATTCAACTCCTCGTCGTTGCGAACAGCCAACTGAATGTGCCTTGGGATGATTCGAGACTTCTTATGATCACGAGCAGCGTTACCAGCCAACTCGAGTATCTCCGCAACCAAGTACTCGAGGACAGCAGCCAAGTAGACAGGAGCACCAGAACCAATACGTTTAGCGTATCTACCTTTCTTGAGGTAGCGGGCGATCCTACCAACAGGGAACTGTAGACCAGCCTTGGCGGAACGTGTCTTAGAGCCTGCAGGCTTCTTGCCAGACTTACCACCACGACCACTTTTACCTTTACCGGACATAGAGAGGAAGTGTAAGGCGGCTAACGGCGAGTTAACTCTGCGATTAGTGTATAAATGGTGATGCGCATAGGCCTAGCAAGATCGCAAGAAGGAGCAAGATTAGCTGTTTGACGGCTAGAGGAGTTGCGAATGGATTGAAGTCACTATTAGGTTTAATTTGGGCGGTATGTCAGGCGACAAAGCAGACAGGCGAAATTATAATGTATTATTCGCTCAGGAGATCATGCTTGGCCTCCTCAATAATTACGGATACACGCTTGTTATCGCTGGTGCGCAGGTAGGTGTATCTTGTGGTTGACTACGCAAGATACAAAACAGGTCCAAACGATGGTTATGTGTGCATTTTAGGACATAGCTCGTCTCTTCGAGAAGACCAATTTGATGCCCCTCTTCACTACAGTCATGTTATTTGCTGCTTTTGCTACCGGTGCTATCCACGCCCGAATAGCAGCACCCTATTCCTACCGTCAACGTGTTGGTCTGGCCATGCTTATCCAGTCCGTAGGGTACCTACTATTTGGTACTGCTTTCCTATTTGTTGGAGTCCAACCTGTTATCGGCTTCTGGATGGCCCAAGTGGCAACCTTCTTAGTCGGAGCCTTTCAAACCATAGGTGAGGTAATACTCTAATATGTGGCGATTGGGAAAGTGTTAACGCCTGGTACAGGGTCCATGCTGAGGATTCATGTGAATCTCTTTCTTATTTAGATTAATAACCTATCGTTATTGAACTCGCTCCCGAACGGTCTAGTTGGAGCCTGGGGTTTCGGTACTGGTGTATCACAGTTCGTCGGTAGCATATCTTACGTCATTGCTATCAACCTAGGCATAGCATAGTAAGGTTGGTCGGCTTATATTGGCTCAAGCTACTTGTTGTTAGTTCGACCTTCTTCTTGAGCCTAATACCGGTCTACCTTGTCTATTGGGCCCTCTTTACTCGAGTTGAAAAGCTGGCTCGTGGGGAGCGAGAGGTAATGTAACATTCCGGTGGGGAAAGTTTGTTATTGTTGCTTAGGTTAACGAGGGTGCGAATGAAGCTCTACTTGTGTCGGAGGAGTCTCGTACCAGTCTTAAGCTCACTGGGAAGACCTTCCCTAGTGAGTGTACTATCATCCAATTACTAGAATTATTTCACTCATTGTTCAGACGTTTTACGGATGGGTGGAAGCGTTATTGGCAATATGGCCGCTACTTACGCGTTTAATTATCTGATTGAGTCGGGATTTGCCGATCGAGCTACCTTGCATCCTGAGCCTATCACTGCGGCTATTGCTGTGAATTCATATGCACTAGGGGTGTCGGTGTATGGTATCGGTACTATGCTGGCTCGACTCAGCGTCTCTTGGTTCCCTACTACTAGGATTGGAATCATCACCATAATACAACTGATGAACTCTGTGAGTGACTAGAGTCGACTCTGTGTGGCAGTGTATTCCATGTCAGGTCCTCTGGGGTCTGGAAGCATATTATCATAGTATTCGATCGTTAGGGCTGCCTGGGTGGTGGTTCTATCAGATTTGGATGTTCTTCGTTGGTTGGATTGCTGGTATGAGCTACTCGAACTGCCTCAATGTCATTAGCATGTCGAAAAAGGTAGGTCATGTTGAAAATGGCTGGATGGTGTAGTGAAATTGACGATCGTGGGATTCGAACCCGAGTTCTATTGGGGTGATCTTGAGATAAGTCCAGGATTACTCGTTAGGTCAATTCTAAGCACTGCTGAATTATTGTGTGATATGCTGCTATTGTTCGGTTTAATTCAAGACTCCGCACTTCCCGTTTTCCATCTAGATACCATTTCAATATCGCGAGTTGGTGATGAATGTCGGTTTCATTTTCTCAAACGTAGCAGTAGTAGCAGCAACAGGGTCGTCCATTATAATGAATAACACGTTTATGAGTGCGCATCAGCTCTATCCACAGTCCGCCCCCTAAGATCCCTGATGATGGCCATTGTATCTATAGCTCAAACTCTAATCTTCTGTCACTTTTTCCAGTATGGATTATCACATCGTGTCCGCATTTAGTGGAATGGAACTGTATATTCGGCACGTCTGAAATGGCGGGTTCGATCCCCGGCGAGGGCATTTATTATTATTGCTTTTTTCTCGCTGTTGCTGGTTAAAGGTTATATTTTAACATCGATCCCAATCCTGGTTGATGGTCACTTTCTTGCTATTTCTTTTTTGGTATCTCCTTGCTACTCTCTTTCACTGGGGTAAGTTCAGTTTGAGCTCCTCATTATGTCGATACCTTACTGAGCTTTTTCTATCGTTTTTACTTCATTGATGTTGCTTAATAAGGGAACGGGGTGGGTTCCTATTGGGGAGGTCTGTGGTTCGATCACCTGCTGGACATTTTTCCGTAGTTCGTTATATTAAAGTAATCTACAACCTCATCCGCAGTGCCGTCATGCCTTCACCAGTGGATGACTCTCGTGAGGGTTCTCTTTCACCAACGTTGGACTACATACAAGTGAACGGTAATTATCAGTTGTCCGAGACGTTGGGTCGACGATCGTGCTCCTCCGAGACGATCTACAACTGTGATGCCTAAATATTGGTTACAGTCAGGGATTAAAGATAACTATGAATGGCTAAAATTAGAGGAATGGAATGAAGTTTGAATTGTCTGAGTCTCCTTGAGTGGGAACGATTTGCTATGGAGCTTCAGTTGCCCTATTTGCACTATTCCTTTCGACACTCCTCTTCAGATGACATCCTATACGTGGATGAGTTGTCCTTATGTTCAAACGCCTCTACTGAGGAATCGATCGACCTGGACCCCACTTGGGAGGATGTCGTGAATAAGCCTGTCGAGGCTGTTGAGATGCAAGCTAGATCCACTACTGACCGCTGCGTCGGTCCTACACCTCCCATTCACAGGGTCTTCAAGAATCCATCGGTGAGCAGCAGTGCCTTTCCCTCGTTGTATTATGTTATTTCCTTAGTGGCTATCAATGGCTTATATAACTGCCATAATGCTCATCCTATTCGGACGAATAGATGAAAGTAGTAGTGACACCTCTTCCTACCGAGTGGTGATGGTAACCATCAGTTGCCGACAGAAATCTGCTAAGTAGTGCTGGCAAAGGCTCGCCCGATCTGTTGAGGATGCCGTCCCCTCAACGTTCCGCTTGCGAGGTGTTGCGAGCACATATAAACATTTCTGAGCTTGTCATTAATCACGACAATTTGGGAGATGATGATGATCGTCTCTTGTGGAATACGAAGAACCTCGGCATCGCTGGTAAGGTTGTTACTGTTTTGCTCGCCTGTAAGGCTTACGAGACTATACTTCATATATTTGGCGAAGTTATAGTATTTGTCCGTAGGTGCATGGAAGCTCAAGTCATTACTGGATGAGGTCTTCCATTTCCCCCAGGATGTATTAAAATGGCAGAACATGCCTAAAAATGTAATTAGTTCGTTACGGCCGAGGACAAGAATTTTGGGATAACAGTCAGAGTTGCATTGTTGAGACCCATGAATATTTCAATCCAAGACCTCTTCCATAGAGTCCTCCTGAGCAACCTCTAATAAGCCACATGATGTGAATATAGAAAGTTATCTTGCTTAGGTAAGGCAATGGAGAGACGGGTGGAACATCGAGCTGAACTGCAGTCTAGATGGTCTCCTCACTAGACCCTCGGAGGTCGGTTATTCCCAATTGGGTGAGTACTGTTCTTACCATCAATGGGGTGAGGTCCTGCAGGCATGCTCATCTCGGAAGTGGCTGTAGCTGCTGGACAGACCAAGGCCGTTCGGAACTTCGTGTCGAAGTCGTTGATACGGTTGGCAAGTATTATCTCACCTGAGGCGGAGATGCAATGTAAGTCTGAGGGAGTTTCAACCGCCATTTGTTAATAACTTCAGAGGGACCAATCAATGCAAAATGTATTTATAGTGATAATATTGGTATTTGTCGAGTTCTTCCCTTTACATTGTCGGGTTCATCTCGACAAGAGTGTGACTTTAGGCGGGTATAATGATCGTACGGAGGCTCTGAAGATGTCGGCCTTTGCGTGGAAGAGGAAATACGGCTGGAAGGTTTGATTCATCAGCATGTACTTTTTGTCAATTTTGACGATATCAGCGTTGGTATATTCTTCAAAGGTTGATTACCCCATTTACGGTTAGTTGTTGTGTCGAGTGGCAATGGGCTCGTGGTGCCAAATCGCGTCGTACCATACAGCATGAGCAGGCAGTAAGTCCAGCCCCTCGAATGGGGGAGATTATTCCCATAAGTTGGGCAAATTCGTATACTATCCGAACTCGGAATGATAGACATTGCATCTACAGCCATAAATTGGACATCTTTCCTCGCCGCACAGGAATAACGCATTCAAGCATACGTAAAATGATTCGAGAAGGATACCCAGAGAGGGTCTTGGGTCACGGAGTATCGTGGCTGCAGATGATTCTTCCGGCCTCACCACCAGGGGGGACGTAGTACTATACATGGACACCCATAACAAGAGTGATAATGGGGGTAATCAGTTGGAGTCACGACTTCATCTAGGACTCAGTGATAGTAGCACGCCAATTCGAGCGAGACCGGTTGGAAGGTGTAGACTGGGGAGGCGACTAGATGGTCCTATTTACTCGGGATTTCATCTCGAGTGAGGCGGCTAATGACAACTACGTAGAGTATCAAGTAAATATTTCATATTTTAGTTCTTTTTATAATGGCAACTCATCGAGGTTTGTTCCTATTTCTATCATGCATCACTGTTATCTCCAAGAGGCATGCTGGTATCGTCGGGGATTGCGGTTCCACTGGGACTCGTATTTTCGCTTACCAAGTTGACGTAGATGATGGTGGTCATGTACTAAATGAGCTCTCAGTAAGGAAGGTGGCTACACTCTCCCCTGGGGTGTCGACACAATGGAGGTCGGGTACGCTGGAAGACCTCATGGCAACTGATGTTGTCGATGCTATTGAACCGATAATCAGGGAGGTGGAGGAGGGAGAGGACGACTCTGTTTGGCATGGTAATAAAATGGACTCATATATCCATTCCCATTGAATGTCACTCTATTGACCAAGCGTCTTATCTCGAGGCGAAGGAACCATTATTCTCCATCGCCTATTCTATCTAGTCAATATCAATACGACTCGATGAGGTGGGTTTTGATAGATCTCGTCGAGGTCTCATCAGATCTATTCTACCCTCTGCAAAAAGTGGCATTGTTCGAGATCGGGTGGAATTTCAAAGATCATAGTGAATAGTTGAACACAAAGGCCTCAAATATCCTATTCTCGTCCTGAAGCCTTTACTATGTATTCCTCCTCTCTAGGGCTGACTCTCCTCGGTACTGGTGGTATCAGGCGGATGAATGCCACCAGCAGGGAAGATCTATGGACTCGTCTCAAGCGTGAACTGATTACGAGGTTGCCGGAGGTTCCTATACAAGTTGGGGATATCCCTGGTAGGCTTTCACCTCGAGCCTTCCCTTGGAGCTGCTGATCCTTCAGGTGAGCTCGAAGCCTTATATGCACTAACGAGTGTGAGTTACCTCTACAATGGAGATGTCGGTGTCCTCGATTTGGGCGGTAGAAGTCTAGAGGTCTCCAACCCACCCATGCCCCCACTGTAAGACTCCAATTCACATGATGCTGTTATCTGTCAGCGGTGGTGAGCTCATCGTCTCGAACACAGGAACTCAATAGAGGCGTTGCAGCTATCGAGATTACCTACTGAAGAGGAGGTCTTGGTTGAAGTAGTGAGTCTGGATATAGGGAGAGGAATATGAAGAAATGGATCCATTTCGAGAGTACTAGGGTTTAGGGTGGTAGATTGAGGGAAGCCTTCCTCTTTCTGTTGACTAGGGCATGCTGAGGAGCATCTGTGTATCTACACTGAGGAGGGGTCGGTGGGGAACGCCGATGGATGCCGAGGCCTCTTGAGGGAGTATCTTGATGAGTGATGGCAAAGCTTCAATATTGGTCAACACTCTTGATACAGACATCGTGGACCAGTCTTGGCAGACTTCGTGGCGCGCGACATTGACTATGTTGGCATCGGCTTATTCATACATGCCATTGACTTTGCGAATTGGCTCGAAGGTTAATACCCTATCCTTGCCTTTCCCTGGTCATAGTAATGGTCAGCGATCCCCTCCTACCCCCACGTTACTGTAGAGGACCTCCTCTATCGGGCCTCAGAGGCTGTTTGTAGTACACCCTTCAACCATTCACGGTACGACTGTTCACCACTACTCTGCCAATTTACTCTTATCAAGGTTTATAACTCATCCTAGTACTCAGCAGTTAGTGGAGGCCCGAGGTCGCTGCGCCGATATCTGCTACATTGGGGAGCTACTCAGGGTAGGCATAGGAAGGGAGATGTGTTATATCGTTGTAGTAGTAGAACACATCTGATTGGCTTCATAGTGAACTAGATAGTTAAGATAATGGGAGTAGACAAGGGGACGCTAGTCTCATGAAGTTTCTGAGCGCACAGTTTATGTGAGTGCAACAGAGGTCTTCCTGGCAGGATATGAATCTTTCCAAGATAATAGTCGGCCATCCAGTGAACGGTGTCGAATTGGAATGGACACTTGGGTGAGGGGAAGTCCTTATCTCAGCTACTCGGGGGTCAACAACACAACGACGATGATAACTCCAGATTGTTGAGATGAGGAGTGATGGAGATCTGACAGGTACTTCCTCCGACAAGCCGCAACGATAGACTCTGTAGGGAAGGAGGAGTTGTGATAATGATGATGATGCCCAATTAAAGTTTCTTACAATCACCACCCAGGATCGAGTTCATAGTCCTCTAGTGCTGAGCTGCTGCTATTATTTGTAATAAACTCGAGACGGCATCCTGGCAGTAGCATCATCCACATCACAACATGATGGAATCTAACTCTCGGAAATAACCTCTCAGCCTTCCCTGACGAGCATGGTCAGTATCATCATCAGTAATACTACGATAATATCTCTTCCACAATTCCAGAGAGCTTTCGGCTGAGGCATCACACACGGGTTTGCTCCGCTCTAAGTCACTAAGGACCCTTCGGAACCGATCCAATGGACGTTCCTCGGGTGTAGAATGTCGTAGTTGGGGAGAGTTGATCACTATCTAACAGATGATTATCATAACAGATCAAGATTGTCATCCTACCTCTCTGAATACCATCGACTTGGTAGTATGAACTGGTGTGGGGAGGTTTTGAATATCGACTGTGTTGGTCGTAGAGGACGGCTTCTCCTTTGTCCTGTCCGACACGAGATCGAGTGATAGAGGCTCTCGACCTCCCCCTTCGTAGTTCGCATGTTGCCTCATTGAGAATCTACCCTTTACCAAGTTAATACTAGGAGGCTGTTGATTTGGATGCATATATCCTAGTGGCCTCATTGAAAACCTCCCCAATGAGCTCGTCACAATGGGTTGCTCAATGAAGTCATGTCCTTCTAGCGACTTCAATGAGGACTTCCCCTCGTCTGAGTCTACCACAGTAGGCGGCTGATTGGACTCATGGTACTCATGTGGCTTCAGTGAGGATCCCTCTTTAGAGATCACCTCAGAAGGACGCTGATCGGGTATGTGCGATTTCCCTACGTGCGATTGCAATAAGCCTCGTCCCTCCTCTGAACACACCATAACGGGATGATGCTTCTCATCCAATTCATTATCGTCTTGGTACATGAATGAGGATGTTCCCTTCCCAGAGGGCATCACAGGAGGGTGTTCACCTGATCCATGTCCGCCTGGTGGCTTGTGAGGGTATACCATTAATTGCTCAACTCTCTCAGGAAACCCACGATTGCTCATTTTCCCGTCCTTTGGTTTTGTTCTTATTCTAGCCAATGGTGGTATCCCCAAATAAGCATCCTCCCGAGTATCCTTAAGAGGCGGCGGGGTATCAACCCATAACCACATAACGAGTGTCAATCTCGGATCTATGCCGCGCTCCGCCAAATCGATCACCCGATCGATTTGCTTCAATACTCGAGTTCTCGGCTACCTCCACTGAGAGCTCACCACTCCTTTTGGCTCGTCATCACCTTAGAATGGCTCAAGAGCATTTACAGTTCCGCGGCGTCCTTCAGGGACATACTGATTGGGTTACCTCCATCGCCACTACGTATGAGGATCCCAAGATGGTTGTCTCCGGGTCTCGCGATAAGAAGATCATGATCTGGGAGCTCACCAACGACTCCGAGTCCGCTGGTTACCCTCGTCGTTCCCTTACTGGTCACAACCAGGCCGTCTCTGATGTGACCCTGTCCTCTGATGCCCAGTACTGTCTCTCTGGGTCTTGGGATAAGACCTTGAGGCTTTGGGATGTGTCCTCGGGTAAGACCGTCCAGACCTTCGTTGGTCACACTTCGGATGTCTTCTCCGTCGCCTTCTCCCCCGATAACAGGCAGATCGTCTCTGCTGGCCGCGATAAGTCTATCAAGATCTGGTAATAATACGGGATAGGACAATGGTTCATTGCAAGTAGGAATGTTGCATCTTGATTCTATTTCAGGAACGCCATGGGTGAGTGCCGTCACACCATTGTTGATGA